TACACTTAGCTGTTGGGACTTTCACAATGGGGGTTGGTAATCGTCACTCAACACCAATCACTACTGGTTTCCCGAAGCTGACTTATTGGTAGTATTATTCTTACACTGGCTCCTCAGATGTCCTTGCTCTCCACAGTTCCAACAACATTTCCGAGTAGCAGCCATTCCTGCTGTGGCATCTTCCTTGTGTTGAAGTTGCTGGCATTGAGCTCTCTTGTGCCCAGGTTTGTTACAGTGCCAGCAAAGTCCCTCAAACTTCTCTGAAAGCTGCCCTTTTCTGGCCTTGAATCCTGATGACTGTACTAACCTTGGTACCTCTGTGCTGGACTTAATATAGTATTTGAATTCAAGAGCTCTGGCCATTGCATCCTGCATAGTAGAGGGTTGTGCTTGCTTTACTTGTATCTTCAGTTGTGGACTGTCCAAGGCGACTACAAACTGATTCCTGAGCAACAGCTTGAGAACATTGGGTTGTGCAATTGGATAAGCATTGTGTGCCATACTTTCCATATCCTGTGCCAACTCTTGTAGGCTTTCCCCTTTAACACGGACTCTAGTCCTAAACCTAGCCCTGTAGACTTCGGACTGGTTTTGAGTTCCATATCTGAATTCTAGAGCAGCTACCAGTGCTCTATAGTTGTGCCTGTCGTCTGCTGACAACTGTCCAGGTATTTCCAGTGGTTGTCCCTTCAGGCTCGTTGCCAAGTACACTGCTTTCTGCTCCTCTGTCCATCCATTCCTTTCTGCCAGGAGTTCCAGTTGTGCTCTATATGCTTCTCATGGTGCCTTCCCATCGAATTCCTGTGGCTTCCTTTGTACTAGATCACCCTTATTGCTGACACCAATGTCTGGAATGTGACTTCTGGTAGGACTGAAGATGTTTGCATTATGGTTTAGCTGCAGGATCTGGAAGGGGTTTCCTGTTGCCTGGGGCTGCTTAGGTCCATGGTTAATATATTCTTCTTGGCTGCAGACACCACAAGAGCTCAAGATAAGAAAAACAAGCCCCTGAAAGTCTCAAAAGGTGACAACCTGAATGTAGATCTTCAGGAACTTAAAGAAGCACAGAAGAAAGTCCCTTCATTACAGTAACCTTGGAACAGGGCCCAGGAGAAAGTCAACCACAAGAGAAAGGGTGAAAAAGAAATACAGAATAGAGGACCAAAAGAGAGTGCTGTACCAGATCTATCAAGACAATTCTACTGGAGAAGTTAAACAGATCACAGTACCAACAGAATACTGGACTCAAATGATGAAGTTGGCTCATGAGTCCATTGTGGAATGACACTTATGAGCGAAGAAGATGGCAGACAGAATCACCAACAACTTCCATTGACCAGAGGCCATTGGAGATGTGATTAGATTCTGCAGGTTATGTGACATCTGCAGAGTACCCAGAGGGAAGGTAGCCAAGGTGCTAATGGGTGAGATGCCTTTCATAGAAGAGCGATTCAGTAGAGTAGCTGTAAATTTGATTGGACTGACTACTAATATCTGTAACTGACAAGGGCAACCAGTACATGCTGACAGTAACAGAATATGGGACACATTACTCAGAAGCCATAGAACTGCTGAAGATAGAGACAGAGAAAGTAACAGAAGCCATTCTGGAAGTTTCCTGCAGAGTAGGCTTTCAACCAGAAGTTTTGAATGACAGAGGGACCCAGATTACCTCAGAATTGATTGAACAGATGTGCAGACTCATTAGCACTAGGCAATTCTTTACCACCCCATACAACCCCAGATGTAAAGAACTCTGTGAGAGAGTCAACAGAGTCTAAAAGAGCATGCTGAAGAAGATATACTAGGAGAGATTATGTGACTGGGGCAGGTACTGACAGACAGTATTATTTGTTTACCAGGAAGTCCCACAAGCGAGTACAGGATTTTCACCATTCAAATTGCTGTGGAGAAGAACAGTATGAGGTTCAATGTAGATATTTAAAGGACTGTGTACAGAAACTGAGTGGAGGAGATGTGTCATCTTGCTAAAGAAAGTTTGTATGCAGCCCAAGGCAGTCAGAAGCACTTCTATGACAAGAATGCCAAGGATTGATGTTTAAGGTTGGACAGAAGGTCTTAGTTCTGCTACCTGTAAACAACAACAAACACTGTAGTGGAAAGAACTATTTGAAGTACAGGAAGTGGTCAACAGAATGGATTATTGAAATACTACGCCAATCTGTTGAAGAAGTACTTCGAGAGGGAAGAAGACCTAAAAGGTGCAGCTATTGAGACACAGATGGACATTGCAGGCATGGTTGTCAAAGATGATGACACTGTCAGAGAATATGAAAACAAACTGACTGGCAAGCAGAAGAAAGAACTGCAAAATCTACTCTGCTAGTACATACATGTCTTCCAAGATAGAACAGGCAAGACAGACCTTGTGCAATAGAAGATTGAGACCATGACCATGGATCCAGTCAAGGTAAAGCCCTACCAGATGACCTATGCAATGAGAGATCTGATCAAGCAGGAAATTGAAATAATGTTAGAAACTGGAACCACTGAGCCTTAAAATTCAGCTTATTGTTTACCAGTGGTATTCGTTAAGAATAGGGACAGTTGTTTTAAAATGATACATTAAAATAAGTCAAATATATATACAAATGTTTGTTACAGAGTTAGTCATCACATTTATATTCAGACCCTTTAAATAATGGTCTCCTTTTGTCAAAATCCACACAGTCTGGTTCAGTTACTTTAGAACACATTTGACAAGATGAACTAGTCTTCTCTGCTCTATTATTACAATACAATCGGTGATAATTTCACTTAAAAGTTGCCACTATACACTCTTTATGGCTAAACTCACAATCACATAGTCTCAATCTAGCTATATTTCTTACTAACTTCATCTCATTAACTCGAACTACATTTTGTTTGTGTATTTATAGACTGCCGGAGGCCTACATGATATTATGATGCAATAATGCTCAATTGTTTCTGGTAACACGATGCAATAATATAACAAATGCTAATTCACAACAATTGAACTACACAACATATGTTTCATACACAGTTAAATAAATAAACATGCAATAAACTATCACTTCTAAAATAATTTAACACTCACACTTATACTTAAATCATCAAAATCATAATACTTGCATTAACTTCAACAGTCGTGTATATATAACAATAAGTCTTTCTTCAAGAAAAATATTGAAAATTTTTTATACTATATATGCAGTCTTTTTTCAGTTCAAGCACAAAGCCTACTAATATAGTCTGCACCAACATTTGCAGTCTACTTGATGACGTCAATGAGGAACCTGTACTTCTGAAGATACCACGCGTATCTCATGATCCTTGCACTGTCAATTTTGCACCTCTTGGTGTATGCAAGAGGCTTGATGGTCCGTCTGGGTGATGAACTCCTTCCCATAGAGGTAGTTCTGGAATTTCTGGATGGTAAATATGACAACCAGACACTCATTCAATCACAGAGCAGTTGTTCTCACTACTCAGCAGCTTTTCACTGATGTACCTTACAGGAAAAAGGTCATCTTCATGTTCTTGCAGAAATACTGCTACAATTCCAATGTCTGAAGCATCAGCCTGAATGATGAATGGTTTGTTGGAATGTGGCATTCTAAGGATTGGGGAGTTACCTAAAATGTTCTTCAACTTTGGGAATGTCATCTGCTGTGGTTGTTCCCACTCCTCTTCTATGGCTATCCGTCAGTAATCCACCTTGTGTCCAACAAAGTTTAGAACAACATAACTGATGTAGCACTTAGATGGTCTTATGCTCAGACCTACTACCCTCACTCTCTAAAACAGCTCTCTGAGTTTTTCAAGTGGTCTTTCCATCTGGCTATGTTGGTCTGAATGTCATCCACATAATGCTCGATGTTGGTGGTTTTGTGCAACATCTTCTTCATCCTGTGGTTGAATGTTGCTGCTAAGTTATCTAACCCAAATGGCATCCTCTTGAATTGGTAGCTTCTATCTGGTGTCACAAAGGCTGTCTTCACTTTAAATCCTGTCTTCATTGGGATCTGCCAATAACATTTACTTAGGTCAATCTTGGAAAAGAACTTGACCCCATCTAGTTTTGCCAGGATATCCTCTGGGTGGCCTATAGGTTCAGTGTTGCACTTTGTCATGAGGTTCAGCTTCCAGAAGTCTATGCAAAAGTAGTTTGAGGTGGACACTTATTTTGGAGAATCTGGCCCATCCGAAACAAAAAACTTGACAGTTTTCCAGAGCTGTAGTGGCATTGTTTACTGCCTGATGTTGGCTTTCCTGCAATTGCTGAGTCATGGGTCAAACTAATTCTCATTTCTATGTTTCTGCTTTGGTCTTCCTTTCTAAGATGACACGTTGGTGGAGAAATCATCAGTATAAGCTGTAGCGTATAAACAATGGGAGAACGAGAATAGCCCTCTCCAATCACTGAACACCAGTGTAGCTGCATTACAGCATCTTAATGTGTTGGTGGTTGGTTAACTTTCAGCTTGGCTTAAGCTTGGAGCAATGTAGGTGCCTGGGTAAGATGGTCTGTTTGAGGTATAGCCACTGCAACTGCTAGCTTCATTCTCTTTTGTGATTGGTTCAAAGACACTGCTTTATACTTCATCACAGTAAGTGTGAAAACATCTCTCACACACACGTGATGTTTTATCACTTTAATGGATAGCTGTTCCGTAAACTTGTCAATGAGGATGTCCTTGTTATTTACCTAAGCCATTAGAGGATAACGCTTATTGTGTAAATGGTGCAAAACATCTGCATAGGTGGCAAAGTTCTTTTTGGTACCCCTCTTCAAATCCTTCAACTTGACCCAATGGATTACTTAATTTTCCACCAATTTCCAACTTCGCTACAACTGTCTCACAATCCCAAAGTTGCATAAGTCCTTGATGGAGTCTAGGTCTGAACTGTCTAGTTTCAAGGTCAGGCATTGTACAGCCTTCTGTGAAGACTAGCCATTCCAAGCAGTTAATCATTTGAAACACTCAAGAAATGGTCAAAATATTTCTTAACTGTACCTTTGAATGTCAGGAATAAGCTGTTTTGCCTCAGTAGTGGCCAGAACCTCTCCAGGAGAATATTTCTCCCAGACTCAGCCCTTTCATAAAACCACCCATTTTCTTTCAGTAACTGACTCTCCCTCTTGTTCTTAGGTCCTTCAAGTTTTGGAAAATGCTCTTTCTGTAACAATGAAGCCTTTTTAAACTTAATAAGAGTTCAAGTAAAGGGCAATACACATGTCAACAGAAAACATGAAACTATGCAAAGATATCCTTTAGTTACAGCAACAAAATTTTCTCCTTCCTAATCTCTTTCTGATATGCAACTTTGACACTCAAAGCTTGTTTATGCCAACTAAAGCATCATATTGATAGTATATAGTGTGTGTGTATATATATATATATATATACTCATAACTTACTTCAATTTCTGTCTGGTAATTAGATATATAATTACAATTCATTTTTTTAATTGATTGTAAGAAACAATAAATTCATAGCTACACTTGCTATTTGATAAAAAGTCATCATTATCTATTCAAATAAATTCAAATTTACTACTATTAAAATGAAAAATACTTCATAAAGAGTTTACACTGTTCCTCTAAAAAGAATTGTTGAACAATGTATTAAATTTAATGCCAAAATCTACTTCACCTTAAGAAATATGTATTTCATTATCACAGTTTTTTCTTTAGTTCGTACCAAAGTAACTTACAATTAGTGTAATCTCATAAAATCACATGTTGTATGAAACACAAGTTTATAAGGTAAATAAAATGAAATAAATACAAGTTAATTTCAATACTTAAACTTATCATGTTATTTATTCTACATAACTTAGTTTACTTTTTCAATATGTAATTATGCTATAGGATACTTGTATTTTCATACACTAATAAGTTGTATTAAGGAGTTCAAGTTGTCCTTGGTGAAGAACATTAGTGTTTAATATGCAATTTGCATTTAACTATTCACTGAAGAATGGAAAAACATATCCCAAACACCTTATTCTTTTTTTTTTCTTAGTATCCATTGTGTTTATGACAGATATTCACTGGAAATAAGGATTTTCCTTAGTCTGCCTACCAAATGCTTAAGTAATGAATTACAGTGTTCAATTCATCATCTATATATTACTGCCATATACAATCATGTTAGTCTTGATACCATAGTATAGTATATAAAGAAACTGTTAAAACTTGCAATACACAATACAAGTACTCAAGTCTACTTGTTGTTTTTTTCTATAATGAAATTTGAAGTTTGATTTAGCACCAACCTGCACCATTATGAAGTCTGGTCAACAGGTCCAAATCTGAGATTTGGTGAGTCCAGCTATAGGCTTCTAATTCTTCTTGACACAAAATCTGAGGTAGCTGTACTAGTGTCTCTAAACAAGGTCCACTAAGCCTGGGACTTGGTACAATGTGCAAAGGGATTTCTAGGCGCATGTATCTAAAGTAATATGAAACAAAACCCTTCTGAGAATCTATACCGATACTAACTGGACTGCAAGTAAGATGATTCAGATTATAAAAAAACAAAAACATGGGAAAAAGTAAACATGAATAAACAAATAAGTCTCAAAACAGCAGTAAGCACTGGAGAAGCCAGTAAACATGAGGAAGTGTGGTATTCTGAGGCAGTGTTTCTTGACCAGTGTGCTGTAGCACATTGGTTTGCCATCATATATGAACAGGTGTGCCATGGAATTTTCGAAAAGTTATAAAAGAAAAATAAATAAATGAAATGTATCATTTATATAGATTAGTTTTTGTGGTTGACCCAAAGTGTATTCTTTCTTGTTGCTTTTTTATAGTCGATATGATAATAAGAGTTGTGTGTTTGGCTAAGTTTTCATAAGGTGCTGGGAGGGGGGGGGGGGGTAAAAGTATGCCTTGGGTTGGAAAAGGTTGGGAAACACTGTTCTAAGGCAACTTAAAAAAACCAACTGGTAAATAATTAAAACACAATATCAAGAAGTTCATTATTCAGCAAAATCGTAACAGAATTCAACTACACAAAGTAATAAAAGCAACTGAGAGAAATGTTTCACATACTTACTAACAAATAAATAATGGCAAGTAATCCCTGTGGACAGCAAATACTAGATACATTTGCTCTTTCTTGGTAGGTCAGTCTTTCAGTATATTAGCTTTTGAGAGATAACTTTACCAAAAGAAGACAAAGCAAAATCTGAGAACTAATTCACTCTATGTAGTCAAGGATAAATCTCAGTAACAATTAACTGAGCTTATATTTATATTACAATTTTAAATCAGACAAGTCTTTCCAGAAGACCAAGACATTAGGCAAATCCAATTAATAGAAATGATAAATCTCAGTTTTCAATTTCATTTCCACACAAAATTGAGATGCCAGAAAACTAAAGTATGACCACCTTAATGAATTATTCAGTACATTAGGAAGGTATCAAAAACATGAGTCTTGGTCCATGGACTCCCTTAGGACCGGTGAATAATTTAAAGGAGGTACACAATGGTAAATATTAAGTTTCCATATTTCAACTTAAAAAAACAAAAGAGAGAGAGAAACAATACTGTGTTCAACGAAATGGAAATAACATTTTATTTAAAAATTAACTTATTTATGTGAGTGCTGCTTTTATACACTGTAGAGTCAGCTATAGTAGATAGATCTAAGTAAGGGGGGGGGGTATATAAGATGATCTTTGGTTGGTGGAGAGATTAACAACCAATGCTTTAGCTCATAATTTTTAGCATTTTTCTAGCTACTCAGAAGAAACAAAAAATATTGGGAATTTTATATACCAACTATAACATATATAAAACAATGTAACTGTCCTAGGGCAATATTATAATTTAGGTTAACTTTTGTAAGTTATATTTTTTATTTTGATTCTATCTTTAAATATTTTGCATGCAGTTGATTTTAAACACATTACTTGATTTTAAAAAACCACTTGCTCTTAATCTTCAAATTGTCAATGTCTTTACATACCTTCACTACCACAGGAGTTTACATACTGCATCATACTGACTGGCAAAATCAGTGACCAAAAGTCAATATCAGAGTTAGTATTCAAATAGTAACTCAATGAAATACATAGAAAAATTTATTACATTTTTTGACAGTAGTTTCAGATCAATGAGGTCAACAGAAACAAAACAGTGGTTGTATACAATTTGTCCAGAGAGGTAGCTGTGTATATAAAATATTTTTGCATAAGGAAATGAGATGATTATAAAAAGTCAATTAAGCATATTTTTAAATGGAATATACTGAAAAATACAAAAACTCTACAGTTTCTGCACCATTTACCATAATATCAAATCCACAATTTTGAGTATTCTATTTTTTAACAGAAGAAGATCTTCATGCAGTAATTTCCAACACATCAGAATAATTAAGCGATATCAACTGAAGAGGAGGTGAAATATGGGTGTCAAAGAACAAGAAATCTATGTGATAATAATGAGACAAAATGATATAGTATTGTGAATGTGATATGAGGAATGAATTTGAACTATTTAAGTAATATTTTTATTTATATGGCCTCTTTTTATTTTTGCTACATGTTTTAAAATGCATGAAATTAATTTTATTTCATCTGGAGATACTTTGGAGGTGATAAATGTTACTCTGAATGAATACTTTGTTATGTGGTAATTCAAGGATAAATCTGCAAGCAATCATCTAATCTCCACGAAAACAATAGGTATGTGGATCTAATATGTGAAAAAGAAAGGTGTAGGAATCTGTTGCATATGAAGTAAAAGAGATAAGACATGGTGTTGAAATTTGAATTAAAAGATAAGACACTTTAGTGGTTAAAGAAAGAGAAGAATGACTAATTGCCATACGTTTTGGTTACAAGGCATCTCCATAAACAAGATCAAACACATCAACTTGCAACTATCCTACAAAGAGCAGATGAGTTCCTCAATTGGCAAGCTACAAAAAGTAAAACTACAGGCAAAACTATTTACACATAAACTTGATCAGATTAAGCAGGTTATAAATTAATACTTTAGAAAAAAATATGAATTATATAGCTAGTCCCTGAAATCCAGAATGCTAAATTATTGCAACTGTCTTGATCTACTTTTTTCATTTATTTGTATTTAATTTTTTATATCAATCAGTTACTCATTTTCTGTTTTTAAGAATAATTATGATAATAAACTATTTCTTATATCTTTGGCAATAAGAAGGTCAATATGTAGATATGTTTTAAAATTGTAAAATCATTAAAAAAAAAACCAAAACCCAGTCTTGAATAAACAAAGGTCAATCTGAATTTAAGTCCAGTGGGGCAATTTTAGTTTTAGGGGGTTCTGAATGTAAAGTATACGACGTGGGGGATGTGATGACATATCACATACACGTTGCACTGATGACTATGCAGGAAGGTTGGCAAATTTTGTCTACTCACTACACCCTCCCCACACTTTTTTTAGCGGGTTCCAAAGAAGTTATCAGGCAAGGGGCATGAACATTTCTGAGTGCCAATGATTATTTTGAACTCCTGCTCTGTAATTTTAATGTGTATAAATAAAACTTTAAGGTCAAATTAGAAGGCTTAAAAGACTCAAGTGTTTTTTGAGTTAAGTGGCAGAATAAGTAGAGAGCTATTTGTTTTTTTTTCAGGAACTGTTAGCAAAGCATTTTAAAGAAAATTTATGGATAGAAATAAATTACTTAAGTTTTCTGTCTTTTGGACAAGTCGTTTGATCTTAAGGTAATAATCTGAATGTATATCATTTGAGTGTAAACATGCAAGAAAGAGAGTAAAAAAAATTCAGTAATTAAAATATTGCAAACATGTTCAAACGGTTCCCACTTTTCGGGTTGAAGAAATTTCAGGACTTATTCCAGGGCCTTTTAATTAACCCAATCGTGACTGGCTACTAACTTTCTGTGTAGCTAACGCAAGTATTACTATATTTCGTTCCAACAGTAAAACTAATGGATGAAATTGTTTAAAAATTCACAAAAATGTTCATAAATACCTGTAGTTCAAGATATATAAAGCCTGTTACTCTGATATATTTAGTTTTTTTTGCATTAATGTCTTTAATATCTTGGGAAATTACATTAGGAAATGGTATTTATAAAATATAATTACAATATATATATATATATATATTTATTTTTTTTCCACATTTGAACTTTTTACTTTTTATGTTTTAGTACATTATTTTAAAATCTCTAAAAACTTTTTGTCATCCATAAAATGCAAATTTTGTCTATTTTTAATTTTTTAACAATCACATACACTCCTTATCCCGAGTTATGGTTTCAAGTAATATACAAGACCGAAAATAATATTTCTTAAGTAAACCTAAACAATAAACAAGTATTTTTTAATTTTTACATAGGATTTCATGTTTATATATGTATGTAGAAAACATTTTTTTAAAATTTTGTTTCATAAATGTGTTTATTTCAAGTTTATGTTTCAAAGCAGCCATACTTTTGTATATACACTAAAATCTTAACTTTTTTCAAATAAGTAGCAATAAATAAACTCGCTCACATACCATGAATTGGGCAATTGAGTTAGTTGGAGACTGATCAAATGGGGGAAAAAATTAAAAACACATTCTTAAATATTCAAGATAAGCATGTTCATTATAGAAAACAAGGGTGACTGCAAGTAATAAAAAACTAGGTTGGCTCACGAAAGGTAGAAAGGATAAAATTAAGGAAAAACAAAAAATATAATTACTGCAATGATTTGAGATTTGGTCAAATGGGAAACTAGAAAAAATAATACAAATAAAAAGGTGAGCTGAAAATCAACAGTAAGGTTTACTTCAAATACATTAAGGGTAAGCAAAATGTTAGAATATGAGAGAGGCCTATGAAAGATGATACAGGAAAGCTAATATCTGATGATTATTGGATGGCTAGGTTATTAAATTCTACTTTTTTCTTCAGATTTTGCTAATGAAGATTTAAACAATATTCTTCAGCCTGAGTAGTTGTGAGATGGAAACAAGATTGAACAAGATGATCATATTATATCTGAACTAAGAAAAGATTGGAAAGTTTAAAAAAAGATATAACTCCTGGCCAGATAATATTTACCCAATGGTTTTGAAAGAACTCAAGGACTAGATAAGTAAGCCACTTGCTATTATTTTGTTCAATCCTTGAATAGTGAGTGGGCAAGTGCCAGAAGATTGGAAGTTGGCTAATGTTACTTCTCTTCTCTTGAGAGATGATAAAAATCGTCCCAGTAATTAGACCTATTAATCTTACACCACTGTTGAGATAAGTTTTTTTTTGAAAGTCTGATAAAAGATTCTTTGCAAAGTCATTTAATATAGTTTGGAATTTTGTTGGATTATCAATATAGTTTCACTAGGGAAAATCTAGCTTTGCTAATCTGATTCTGTCAAAAAATGCCACTATATACTCTTTATGGCTAAACTCACAAACACAATCTAGCTCTATCTATCTATCTA